TAAATAAACAATTTCCAGGTTTATTGCCTGTAGTAGAGAGAGTAGAGAGTGGTGAACTACTTAGAGCAGTGGGTATTGTACAGTCTGACGGCGGCTGGAAGGAAAGACCTGCGGTATCTTTCCTTCACGCACTTAGGGTGCCGCAGCCGGGTGCTGAAGGAGCTGCTCAGTGCTGTCAGAGAGAGGTGCATGGGGTGGGAAGGGTATGCCAGCATGCGCTGGAGCTTAGTCCTCATTCTCCTCTCTGCCACCACCTCCACTGAGACGCATGGGATCTTCACTCCTAAAACTGCACACTTGTGTGATCACTTCATATTTCTGCTTCCTGTCATCTCATTTATGATTTATTTTGTTTTTATTGTACAGATTCTCTTTTGTTTATTGAAATAAATTAAATAAATCTGATTCAAGTTTCCCACAAAGGTTTTTCTGTATCACTGTATGTTTCTACACTGCAAACATTATCCATCCAACCAAGTCTTGCAGTTTTATATCAGCCAAACAGTATTTCTGATCTTGTTTTGAGACTCATTTAAGCGAGAGCAGACTGTTAGATTATTAATCTGGTTAGCCTGGAAATTTTCCTTAATTCAAGAAATCTTAAGTGCAGTTGTCTCATTCCACTGGTAGATTATTTCACTTCATTTGAGTCCAAATCTTCTCAAATTTCTCAAATGAAGTGAAAYAATCTGCCAATGGAAGAAGACAATCGCAGTTCTCGAAATAAGGAAAATTTCCAGCTAACGAGATTAATAATCTAACAGTCTGCTCTCGTTTGGTGTTTCAGTCTCAAAACAAGATCAGAAATACTTTTTGGCTGCTGTAAGACTTGGTTACATGTTTTGCAGTGTACTAGAGTTTTTATACTTTATTTTATTTTACAGTTATTTAACCAGGCAAGTCCTGTTGAGATCGCAGATCTCTTTTTCAAGGGAGGCCTGGGCCTGAAGGCAACCTATTGTACATGTTTTTGTGTTGTGGGAAACCAGGAATACCTGGAGAAAACCCACACAAGCACAAGGAGAACACGCAAACTCTGCACAGAAAGACCCCCTGATCTTTATTGTATCTGCAGTCAGGTTTTGTTGTGGAATTACAACTGACAAACTCTGTCTCTGTCATAATTCTCTTCAGTTTCTACACGATTTCTCATCCTGTAACAATAAATATACTTGAAATAAAAACCGGAAAACAGATTCTTTTTTTCACATTTAGTAGATTTTAATTATTATAGGTGTGTAAAATCAAAGAAGTCATCTCCTTCTCTGTGAGAAATACACACAAACACTGGAGGTAAATGTCTGCTGTCCTCTCAGCAGGTCTGTGTGAAAAGCTTTGTGTTTCAATTTGACCTCTCAGGAACAAAAGTCTGAACAACAACAACAAAAAAAAACAAACAGATTAGTGTCATTTGAGAATCATCAGACACGCAACATCTCTGTGGGTTTATGAGATGTCACAAGTACCTGAGGATGAGGAGTGAGCTTCATCGCTTGCTCACCTGGAGCACAGTCGCCTGCAAAGACAGACAGATGAAGGTGAGAGGTTTGAAAACACACCGGGACATTTTAACATGACCCAGAGCAGAGGACGTGTCTGTACCTTTGTGCTGATTCATAATAACAGCGTCTTCACTCACATGTTGTCCAACCAGAGTTTTATACAGGTTCAAAACAGGAGCACTCACGCTCAGAGTTCGACCTGAGGAGAAGAAAACGGATTTYATTTTCACTGTAGCAAAACACTCACATTTCTTTGCTAACATATTAAAATATTTCAACATGATTAAAAACCACAACAAGCTCTGTCTCTGCACACAGCGCCAGTAAATTTATTAGTTTGTTTTATTCTGGTTGATGTGGGTTGTTTGTTGAGCTGGATCATAAATTAAAACTCTTTCTCAGTATGAGGTCCTGCTGCAGTCAAACCATCATGTAAGCAGAGTCGGGTAGTTACATTTACTTGAGTATCTTTTTTGGAAAAAAATACTTTTAGGAGTATTTTTACTATACTGTACTTTTTACTTTTACTTGAGTTTTATTACCATGTATCACTACTCTTAGAGCACTAATCAAAAAATTTGTTGCATTAGCCCCAAAGCACTAACTCATATATTTAGGTCCTCAAATCCAGTGTTTCCCAAAGTTGGGGTCGGGACCCAAAGTGGGGTCCTGAAATATCAAGGTGGGGTCCTAACAAGATTTTCTGAATTAATTACATTTTTGCCTTATTTGTTACAAAGGAGTGAGGTTAGTATATTTAAAATGGATAAATGTAGTATAAAAATATTGTTTCTATGCCCATGTTTAGTTGACCTGATACAAATGTTTATCATCCAAAAATAGCTGGGGGCACAGGTCTCTGCTACTGTTATTTTGTGGGTCAAAAGCTGAAAAGTTTGGGAACCACTGATCTAATCTAAAGCAGTAAAACAACCCAGTCGACCCATGGAACATTCTTCACATTCAACATGAATCACATATTGCTATGTTGCTGTCTTGAGCTGTACAGCCGTACGTGTGTGCAGGCGGTTTATGGAGGTGATTTGTTGAAACAGACCTTTCACTCATGGTGGTAATTAAACAGATGCTGAGGATCACTAGCTCTCTTGCTCGTTAATCATGTTCCTATGCTTATGGTAGGACTATATTATTATTGGCAGGAGTGAAGTCAGAGTATACAGCTTCTGAGAGAAAAAAAATGCATTTCCAGCCCATGAGGAACTGCTGTCATGAGACAAGATTCAGTTGTAGGAGCAGATAAGATTTTTTTTCTTCTGCTGCTGCCTTTCAATTTATTTGATTTGTATTTTTTTCTTTTATGTGAATTTGTTTTGTTTGTTAAATGAAATAAATAAATAAAAATGAATATTTACTGTGTGAAGATTATTGTTAATTTGTCACCCAGTGTATAAATGACATTCATATGAATATAATGAGTGACAGACCTCAGTTAGTGCTTCTAAATTTAGCCCATAAATTTAGCAAGTGCTAATTAAAAAAATAGCAAAAGCCCTAAAGCACTAATTCAGAAATTAGTTCCCCTATTAATGCTTTAGTGCTTTAAGGCTCTAGGGGAACTGTGCCCACCACTTCTCCCATTTGAGTAACATTTCGGGAAACTCTACGAACGTAACTTCACTGAACGAAGAACAAACTTCTTTTCACCAAAATTTCASAAGACACACCTGCAGTTTTTGTTAGCTTCGTTAACTTTATATTGAAGGAAAATACTTTTTTTGTTAAAATACCAACATATTCACATTGATTTATATTTTGGTCTGTGATAGCCTTTTTATCAAATACTTTTTTACTCTCGAGTCAATTCTTGCATGGCTACTTTTTACTTATTTTACTTGAGTAAAAACATGTTGAAATACATTGTTGAGTACAATGTACCCACCTCAGTATGTAAGTTTGACATATTTAAAATGCAAACTGGCTGACTTACTGTAAAGCTTCACTGTGGTGGTTTTAATTCCTGATGGTTCCTCTGTGCTCAGCTGCAGGATCATCGCATATTCATTATAATCAGTGTGAACCACGAAGGAATCAACGTCTGCATTGAACCCTGCAGGGAAAATCTTTAGTTCACAGAAATCTTTTTGTGTACATATATTTAAAAAAGAAAAAAAAAAGAGAAACACAGGAGGACGAGTGTAGAAAAACATACTTGCCACATGGTGAAAGAATCGTCCTGGAGTGTTGGTCAAACTGTAAACAGTGGAGGTCTCTTCACACGACCCGTTCCTGAAATCACACATAAAAGGCTTTATTCATAATGAAACATACATTTTTTTAACTAGTTTTAACTCCACACGAGTCTGACCTGAAGGTGGAGGCTAACATTGTGAAGTTTCCCTCAGAAGTGACGTTTTTTATTTCCAGTGCAACAATGACAGGATTTCCTTTCTTACGCAGCGAATAATGAGGGCAGGTAGAAGCTACAGCTGTTTCATACCACCTCCCAATAAACTGCAGGGAAAACACACGTTTCTTATACAACWACACACACACACGTGAAGTTTAACACAACAAAATACATGTTTAACACAATGTGATGTAAGCTGTTGAAAATACAGATGAATATCAGACTTGAATAATCACCTTTTATTTTTGTTTATCTGATACTCAAAGTGGTTTTATTGTAAGGAATTCACTTTATCCTTTTATTTATTTGATTCGTTTTTATTATACGTATACTTTTTTATAGATGTTGGATTCATTTTGTAAGGAATGGAGAATAATTTTTCTGAAAAAAGTGAAGCTCGTAGGAGAAAAGGTGGGCTAATATAAGTTCAAACTTCTACCCATTAAAGGCACAGTGTGTGTGGTTTGTTGTTTTCAGCGACATCTAGTGGTTGAGTGGTTGAATCATCCTCCCTGGTCCTCCCCCCACCCCCACCCCCCGCTTCCAAACACAAAGGAGTTGCTACGGTGTCTCTCAGGTGTCAAAAACCTTTGATAATTCCAACCGCGATGTCTACCAGCAGCTTCAGGGCTAATGATGTTTCAAGTGGTAAGATTATGAGCTTTAATAAGTAAAATTATCCCAGCTACAAATACAGACAACAAATATTACATTTATAGTATTACAACTAAAACCGTTTTTGACGCCGCCACCGCAGTTTGTCCTTCATGAGCCTTCGTAGACAAGATGGCGGCTGCTTGTAGGGGCGACCCACAGCCATGGAGATATAAACAGCTTTTTATAAGGTAAAAATAATAAAACAAGGTCTTTGTCTGCAATGATTAGACATGTTTTTATTATTGTCATTAGTGATGATCTCAATTTCGGCTAAAAGAATTGACAAAATCCTACACACTGTGCCTTTAAGCACATGAATATTGTAAATTAGTAAAAGTTTATGTTCTTCTGTTCAATARAACTTCAAAAGATTGTGAGACATGCATACAGACAAATATGATGCAAAGCAAATGATTCAAAAACATCTGATAGAGAAGAAAAACAAGACTTAACAAAAGTAACATTACAAACCACTGACCTGCTCAAATTCAAAGTTCTCCTGTGGGCTGGCTGGACCACTGGGAAGGCTCCAGGTCAACCCCAGGACCAGAAGAGGCACTAAACACCTCATTTGTTGCATCCTGAAGGTCCGTCCTGATCAGCTGCCCACCACCAGACCCTGCTTCTGAGTCTCCTTTTAGTTGAACATTTCCCACATCATTACAGAAAAAACACAGCAGAGAGAGCAAAGTTCTGCTGATCACTTTATCTCTTCTTGTGTTTCAGCGTGCACACACTCACACTAGATCAAACACACACACTCACGTGTGTGCTGGTCTGAATAATCAGAAACGAAGCGCTGGACTTCAGAGTTTGAAGCTACCTGCAAACATGCAGGAGATCAATACAGGTTAGCTTTTAACAGTGAGTCAGAGATGATTTTACAGATGGAAACAAACTCTTTTAGTCCAGTAAGTCGTAAAAAATCCGCATTTTTATGCCAATTTCTCATAATATCACCACAGACTGTGTTTTGTGTTTCTTTTGATGGTTTGTGGCGATAGTTTGGGAGCATCTCGCCTAATAACAGTTTAAAAAAACATTTAAATTTAACCTATCTGTATTTGTTCTTATATTTTTTGACAGGTTTATGTACTGTATAATGCAATTGTTACATTTGGGCATGTTATTTTGAGCCCAAACTTCAAGGAAGCTTCTGTCTGTGTAACTTAAATCAAACAGTGTTTAAAGATGTGACAGAGAAATGCTGCCATTTAAACAGATCTATAATTTGGCTCCAGTCAGCTTTTTGTGTTTGGTTCAATGGTTGGATCTGTTCAACACGTGACTTGTAAGCAGATTGAGTCYGAAAGATATAAAAGCAGCAGCTACCAGGAAGACTTGCAGATCAGAAATATTTGAAGATGAATTTAACACCTTAGTAATATTTTACAAGTATTCTGTGTGATATTTGTCCTGGGATTTCCTGTGTAAACCGTCAGGCTACACAAATTGTTTACTAACATGGTAATTAAGGGTTATTAGGAGTAATTTATGTTAGTGCAAACATCTTGAAAGACACGCTGTGTAAAAAGTGACAAAGTGGATCTGATTGTCTCATTAAAGGAGACACATCATGCTTTTAAATCCTTTTTAACATTTAAATCCTTCAGTTGGGGTCTATATAAAAGGAACTGCAATGCTTTGGTCTGAATTCCTCCTTATTGTAACTCCACAARCCCCTCCCCTTTTCTGAAGTGTGTCTCAGATCAACCTGTTTTGAGGCTGTCTCTTTAAACCCAAACCAGGCGCTTCACACCCCCGCTCCCCTCCAGCTTTCAGGGCAGCTCATTCCAGTAAAGAAGTTTACGATAGCGGCGCAGAAATGTTTTATTTACAAATTAATTAAAATATGTCAACAAGGGAAGACTTGTCCATGCAGCCTTACAGGTTGGAGCCAGAGTCTGACCCAGAACTGTGGGTAAGTCTGTCGCAAATACTGCAGATACYCATAGAAAACGTAATTTCTCTACCCGCTTCTTATTTCCAGGCTGCAGAGAAGCAGGTGCCTGCTCCAGCTGTCACTGCATGGGGGGTACACCCTGGACAGGTCCATAGAGACAAACAACCACTCACACCTATAGTGACAGTTTAGAATCACAATATAACCCTCATGTATGTTTTGGGTCTGTGGGAGGAAACCAGAACACCAGAGCTGGGAGGTGAACTTGGGACCCTTTTTTCTTTGAAAAGCGACAGTTCTAACCACCTTTCAGCCCTTTTTTTTTTAAACAAAAGTGCATCATAAACATTTTATTAAGCCTCAGAAAACAGCATCAAAGCAAACAAACATGCAGAATTATCAATTTTCAAAATGGTTTTATTCTGTTTTTAGTGCTGTCACATCCTCAACAAAATAAAATCATTCTTAGACAACACATAAACGTTAAGAATGAAATGCTACAAATACAAAAAGAAGTTGGAAGAATGGCTTTCTGATGTTCTTCAGGTGCTGAAGGTCAAAATCTGAACACCTTCGTGTTCATCTGGGATAAAACCTAACAAAAGGACAAGAACATGTTTTTCAAAACTGTATTGTGTTTCAATATATTCACAGATATTTACGAAGCTCTGCTTACCTAACGTCCAGATCCTGACGATGGACAGTTCTCTGTTGATGAGACAACATGGAATCAGAMGTGTTACTTCAGCCAGAGGTCTTGGTCCTCCTGACCCACTGTCCTGCAGGTTTGACCCGTTTCCTGCCTCGACGCRCCTGATTCAAATAATTAAACCGCCTACTCAGAATGTCATCAAGCTTAGCAGGAGCTCACTTTGTCGTTTCAGTCAGGTGTGTTGAAGAGGGAAACATCTCAACCATGTAGGACTGTGGGTCAGGACCAGGGTTGAAGACCTCTGGTCTAAACTATCAGTGTGTATTTGAGTTTGTCCAGCAGTTTGCTTGTTTTCCTTCACCTGCTGGAGGAGGAGTCAGAATAGACTGTCTGGGGAAACCACAGGACAAAGCGAGAGCTTTGAACTTCTGGATGACTTCAACCCGGAGTCTCTGAGAACGACCTGCAGGCGAGACACAAGCAGAGGGAACATCCAGACCGGAGCTGAAACTCGTGTGTGTGTGTGTGTGTGTGTGTGTCTCACCATAAAGAGCCACCTGAGTGAACTCTCTGTTAAAGACCTTGTGCTTGACAACCAAAGCATATTCATTATAGTTGGTGTCCACCACTGTGATGTCCTTCACCATGTTGTGACCTGAAGGAAATCAGTCAGGAGTCATCGTTACTCATGCTAGACAATAAACAAGTAACCAAAAAAAAGAGGGGGGGGGGGGGGCAAATAAATCCCTTCACAAACTACAGATGGTTCAGAACTCAGCCGCCCGTGTGATCACTCAAACCTCATCCTCTGCCCACATCACTCCAGTCCTACAACAGCTCCACTGGTTCCCAGTTAAATCACGCATCATCTTCAAAATTCTCCTACACACCTTCAAAGCTRTCTACAATCTTTCCCCTCCTTACCTGTCTGACCTCTTAAACATCTCCACACCCTCCATCCTCCCGCTCYCAGATCTGCCTCCTCCTTCCAACTCTCAGTACCCCCTGCCCGCCTCAGCACCCTGGGGAGCAGAGCTTTCAGCCACTCTGCTCCGCAGCTCTGGAACTCACTACCCCATGGATTACACAATACCACCTCTCTCTCCCTGTTTAAGACTGGCCTGAAGACACATCTTTTCAGGTTAGCTTATCACTGCTAACTCCTATTGACTGGTCATTGTACCTCTATATACTGTATGACTGTTTTGTAGTCCTCATTTCTATGTCTCTCCCACACTACCTATCATTCTTTTTATCTAGATTTGTTTCTTTTCTATTGTACAGTGTCCTGGGTGTCCTGAAAGGCACTTTATAAATTAAATGTATTATTATTATTATTATTATTATTATTATTATTATTATTAAACAAAGAAAAATAAGAAAATACGTATAATAAGTATAAATTATTGCAGCAGTGGAATCTTAATATTGCCTAAAAAACATTAAAATTGTACAAAACATGCTGGGGGAAAGTAAAGGAAAAATAATATCTTTGTTTATTCTTCACCTTTTTTATGTGATTGTACTTTATAATTTTATGATCAGTCAATTAAGGATCATATTGTTGCGTTATTTTATTTATTTTTTACTTTTGGGTGGAGGCTAAGGGCACTGGGCTTTTGCGTCCTCCTGCACTGTTAACTTTTCCCCCACATGAATTGATTTGTATTTTTCTTGTGCAAATGAGTTCATCTAAAAAACTAAAACCTACTGAGAATACTATGTTTCTTGTTTAAAACAATACTTTAAAAGCAGGTCTAGTCAGTATACACTGCATTTTAAAAAGTATTAATATGGTTTTAGGTAGCATAATAAATTCCCCATCCAATTAAACACAATAATAAAACCTTTAAAACTTAAAACATGCCAGCAACACTTAAAAATATCTTGACTATTTTTTTGTTAGACACTTTATTTAACATATTTTGTCACTTCACCATTGTGGCTTTTCATCAGCTGTTCTATTTATTATTTTTGCTTAATTTTAAAGCAATACTGCACTGCAAATATTCAAACCCAGCTTTCTACTTTATTACATTTTAAAAAAACTTTTAAAAATAAACTTACGTATGCTGAAGTAGGTGAACTGACCAGGAACGTTTGTCTTGTCATATTTATAGAATTGAGTCAAACATCCAACAGGTCTGAAGCACAGAGAGGGACAAGAACAAGATCAAACCTTCGAGCTCTTCACCTGACAAGTTTCTCTCTGACAGGTGAATTTAGACTCATGATTTATTCACTCAAACGTTCACTTTACTCTCAGGATTCTGCTTTTATACAGCAGCCACAGACTCACAGGGCTTCCCACATGGTCAGGTTGACGTTGCCGTTGGGTAGAGGGGTGACGATGCCCATGGAGATCTTTACTCGGTCCCTTACGGGAACAAACCCTGCAGAGTCGTAGGCGAAGCCCACACGATACCATTTACCTGCAAACTACACACAACAGAAGTATTTACGGCAAGGAGGCAGACACTTTGTGAAAAACAAGGCAACAATRCTCAACAGTTATGTTTGAAAAGAAGGTCTGGACAAAAATGTTGGTACCCCTCGTTCAGTTTAATGAAAGAAAAACCCACAGTGGTCACAGAAATAACTTGAATCTGACAAAAGTAATGAAAAAAAATTCTGTAAGAATGAACAAATGAAAGTCAGACACTGCTTTTCAACAGATTTTAWTTTTAATAAAACTCAAGAAACAGGCCTGRACAGAAATGATGGTACCCCTGAAAATAATGAGACCAAAGGGACATGTCAAGGTGTGTCCATTAATTAGCATCTCAGGTGTCTATAGGGCTACACATACTCACTGTGCTGTTTGGTGACATGGTGTGTACCACACTCARCATGGACCAGAGGAAGCAAAGGAAAGAGTYGTCTCAGGAGGTTAGATAGAAAATTATAGATAAGCAAGTTAAAGGTTACAGGAGTTAAATGAAACTGAAACACCTGGTTTTAGACCATAACATCCCTTTCAGACAGCTTCCTCGTGCGTCCACAATTAATCCTGTTGGATGTGGTTGGTCCTTCTTGGTGTTATGCTGACATGACCCWGGATACCTTGGCTCTTGATAYRTCACAAAGACTTGCTGTCTTGGTCACAGATGCACCAGCAAGACGTGCACCAACAATTTGTCCTCTKTTGAACTCTGGTATGTCACCCATATTGTTGCAGTGCAATATTTTGAGCAAAACTGTGCTCTTATGCTAAGTGAATCTTCACACTCTGCTCTTACTGGTGCAATGCKTAATTAATGAAGATTGGCCACCAGGCTGGTCCAATTTAGCCATGAAACCTCCCACACTAAAATGACAGGTGTTTCAGTTTCATTGTCTAACTCCTGAATAAGACCACCTCCAAGCAGCTTGATGTTCCTGTAACTACAGTTGCACATATTATTCAGAAATTTGAAATCCATGGGACTGTAGCCAACCTCCCTGGAYRKGGCCGCAGGAGGAAAATTGATGACAAATCAAAGAGAYAGATAATATGAATCGTAATAAAAGAGCCAAGGAAAAACTTCTAGAGACTAAAGGTGAACTTCAAGCTCATCAGTGTCAGATCACACCAGCTGTCGTTTGAGTCCAAGTGGACTTGACGACCAAGGACGACACCATTGTTGAAAACAAATTATAAAAAGGCCAGACTGGAATTTGTCAAACTACATGTTAAGACACAACACTTCAGGTGAGACAAAATGGAACTTTTTGGCAAGGCGCATCAGCTCCATGTTCACAGATGGAAACATGAAGCATATGAAGAAAAGAACGCTGTTCCTACTGTGAAACATGGAGGAGGCTCTGTTATGTTCTGGGGCTGCTTTGCTGCATCTGGCACAGGGGGTCTTGAATCTGTGCAGGGTACAATGGAATCTCAAGACTATCAAAGGATTCTAGAGAGAAATGTGCTGCCCAGTGTCAGAAAACTTGGTCATGGGTCTTGCAACAGAATAATGACCCAAAACAGCTAAAAACACCCAAGAACAGCTGAGAGGAAAACATTAGTCTATTCTGAAGAGGTCTTCTATGAAGCCCTGACCTAAATCCTGTTGAGCATCTTTGGAAGGAGMTGAAAACATGCCGTCTGGAAAAGACACCTTTCAAACCTGAGACAACTGGAGCAGTTTGCTGATGAGTGGTCAAAATACCTGCTGAGAGCAGAAGTCTCACTGACAGTTACAGGAATTGTTTGATTGCAGTGATTGACTCAAAAGGTTGTGCAACAAAATATTCAGTTAAGAGTACCATCATTTCTGCCCAGGTCTGTTTTATAAGTTTTGTTTATTATTTATTTTAACTCTGTTGAAGCATGGTTGAAAAGCAAAGTCTGATTTTCATTTGTTCATTTTCACATAATTTTTATTTATTATTACTTTTGTCAGATTCTAGTTAATTCTGTGACCATTGTGGGGTTTTTCTTTCATTAAATGAGGGGTACCAACATTTTTGTCCATGTGTGTATGTACAATCAGGAGGTGAACATCTTTAATTAGACATCTTTTAAAAATATCTCTCCTTTACTCAAAGTTTAATGGTTCTAAAACAGGTTAAAAAACATTTTTTTAATTTAAAAATAAAGTCTCAAGTCATTCCTCTGAAAACAACACAGGCTGGCTTAATGTGTTTGTTGGCTCTAATGAGATACAAACTTGGAGGAGTCGTGTTGAGTATTTCTGGAAGGACGGAGGTAAAAGTGAGGTTTACTAAAAATAAGCTCCAGGACTCGTGTTTTTCATCTTGTTGCACCAACCTCAGCATTTCCTCAGAACAACATGTTTCTTGTTCAGAACAGTTTTACGTTTGTTAGCTGTTTAAGCCTTTTAACTCGGATTTATCATCCAGGCATAAAAAAAATGTTATTTGTGTATGTTTGTGGCATTTTATTACAACTTTGTGAGCTGAATTTATACATAAAAAAATAAAATAATCCTCCCTGTTGCACAGTTTAGCACATAAATTTGTATGTCAGTGAGCTGAAAACATACATCAACTTATCATTTGACAACCTGACACTCCACCAGTTGTCCTGAACTGAGGACTGGACTGAAAGTGTGCAAAATAAATAAATAAATAAATAAATAAATAAATAAATAAATCTTCAAAAAAACTAGAAATCTATTGATTAGAACTACAAGGAGGCTCGTAGCTAGTGAAGTCAAGTCAAAACTCTTTGGGAAAAATACAAACCACAAGAGCAATAAATACAATACAAAAAGAGGACAATTACAAATAATAAAAATAAGTTAAAAACAAGTGTGTAAAAAACAAGCATAAATTTCTGATTACTTACGTTTTTTTCAATAATGGCCTTGTTATTTAGAGTAAAACATAAAAAGGGGTGGTTAAAATATCTATATTGTTTTGTGAATTTACAAAATAGGAACAAAATCAGTTCAAACCATTTGAATAATTTGGGGAAATATGTTTCAATAACTTTCTTTTTAAAGCATTTCCTTCCATTTTAGTCAAATGACTGAAAACATACAAGATAAGTGAGGAAACAAGAAAATAACAAATCATTTATTGCTCATTRTTTTTGATTTGTTGCTTCAGACGCATCAAAACACAAATTGATAAAAAAAATGCAGACAAATCAAGCCATCCTACCTTCTGCAAGTTGAAATCCTTCTGCGGTTTCACACTGGCGTGCACCATCATCACACACGYCATCACCATGGCAACAGAGACCACTGTGGTCCTCATGGCTGCTCAGAGATGAAGCGGCGGCGGTGGCGGGGTGGGGGGAGAGATACTGAGGCAGAGCTTCTGAYCAGAGTCTGAAGCTTCAGCAGGCGACAGACACACTCAGACTGAGGTAATATGTGCTCCCTCTGCTGATCCGCCCACCTGGTTGTCAGCCAATCAGAGGCCAGGGATCAGCAAACAGAACCTGAGTGTTTGTGGTTGAAAAACAGCCCTGACTTCTCAGAAAAAAAAATCAAGTAAGTCATGCTTGTGGCTGACAAGTATCAGCTGAGATTCAACTGCTGACAAGGTCACTCATGGTTTCACAAGACACACACACACACACACACACACACACACACACACACACACACACACGATGGATCAGGAGGAACAAAACCATAAACTCCTGCAGAAAAATGAGGAAATGTTATTTTAAACAGACTGACCAGCGAAAACATCTGGCCACACAGATGATCTCAGTGTTCTTATCAAAGCCCCGGGCTCCTCTCAAACATGACCCCCAGGGGCCCTTTTCTATTTCTAGATGATTACAGCAAGTAGTGTGACCTTTAGAGGAGGTAAAAACAACTACATTTGGAAACGGTTACTGTAAACACGATCATTTAAAGGAGAGATGAGGACAAAAGTAAAACATAAGTCGGAAAAGTGCATAACTGCAGTCAGAACTGCTTCAAACGTCTAAAGATACGCTTTCATTTCTGTGTAAATCAAGTYGTTAAATATTTACAGAAAAAAGATGAAGGCAAGCAAGAGTGTAAATTGTTTTAATATTGATTTTTCCATCTGCAGCACTGCTTTTATCTTATTTAAATACACTGTACACAACTAGAGGACATCAGTGTGTGTGTGTGTCTCACACACCTCACACACCTCATATATACACAGGCTGAGCTGCTGCTAATGCAGTAAGATGAAAAATAAATCAAAAACATAAAAAAGAAAAATAAATAACACACAAAGACAGACCTGCTCGCATCAGAAAAGATAAAAATGTGCAAAAAGCAGAGGGAGACGTGAAATGAGGGCTGTGAAGAAAACAGATGCATTTTAAAAATCACCTGAGTGATTTATAATTGAATGAGTCGGCATTATTTACATTAAGCAAAGTGACGTTTTAATTTGATGCCACAGAGGCGTAATCCTTAAATTCTGTCCCAAATAAAGGACGTGAAATAGTTACGTTTGATTTGAAAACATGCAAACCATGTGAGAGAAATGAAAATTTGGTTCGTCAGAAAAGATCAATCAAATATTCAAAAGTTTTGAAAACTTTCCAGGAAACTCATATTTACAAATTAGAATTTAATCACTTATATAACAAATAGAAGCTTGTGCATGTTTCACTTTACTATAAATATTTATTGTTTCAGAAATGACAAACAAGCTTTTGGTCAACTTCTTGAACCATTTTTTTTTGTCCTGCCTGAAAAGACACATCTCTAGTTGTTTTCTAGTGCATCTCAACTAAAAACTTGGTAAAACATCCATTCGATTGTCATCCCTTCATGCAGGAATTCACTTTTTTTTATTTGGATTTTGTTTACACCAAAACTGTAAAGCTATGATTGCACACAAAACGAAAAAATAAAATAAAATTATAAAGCAGTGAAAATAACAAATCAAAGAATAGTTAAACAGGTTTTTTTTTTTGCAATAATAATTTAAGTTAATAAAAAATAACTGGAAACATCTTCATCAGAGTGCTTTGCTCTGGGGCTGTTTAATCACCCGCCCCCTGGTGGTGGGAGCTGACAAATGCAGCCCCCAATCAGAAGCATCATAACAGCCAAACCGTGTTACCTTTAGACACACACACACGCAGAAAAACACACACTTTTTACTTCACAACATCAGTCAATTGTTCATTTCCCCATCCCCAACATTCATGAGAACATTTCACACTCATCATTAAAGAATAAATAAAGTGAGAAAGAGGGAAGGGACGCAGGAACAGATTCAGTTCCCGCCAAAACGCTCTGTTGGGCTTTTCCCTCCAAAACTCAAGGAAATGACGGGTGAAAAAACCGTCATGTGACGGCAGCCTTCAAGGTTACAGGGACACTCAGATCATTTTTGAGGTGTTCTGTTTAATAGTTAATAATAGTTAGTGCCTCAAAAGTCAAAACACATTATGAAGAAAAGGGTAGAAATCATTCTCAGGCTAGGCTAATGACTAGCCAATGAGGGCTAGATTTTAATATTGTTTTTCAGGCTTATAAAACAAGTTTTCATCAAAAACACCATACTGATATGAAAAAATGCTTCATTAGCCAATAATAAACTTAACGTCTGTTATTACGCAAATGTACATGTGCTCAACATAAACAATGTGACGTAGGTAGGATTGAGAAAAATCGTATTGTGCGCAATTAATCATCAGGAAAACTGTCAACAATTAATATTTGATACTTTGGAATCACTGCCGTGTGATGATGTATTTTTGTGTACGACATCATCACGATCAGGTGTATGAGAGCCCTAAGGTGAGAGGCAGTGTGGAGCAGCTAACCCTACAAACTCATTTAATCACCTGAAACACTGGCATAAACCGAAGTACGAGGAAAGCCAGAAAATGCTAAACCAAGGCCATATTGTTGCTTAGTTGGCCATTAGCCTGATCTGAATGAAAACTTCTATCTTTTCTCCAAACTTTGACTGATGTTACAGCAGATAAAGTACTTAATAACTATTYGACAAAACACCATTTTCAAAAATAACCAGACGCTCCCTTTAACTGTCAGTCAGTGCAATGCATAAACTAATGTTTCAACATATTAATCATCTGTTTGCAAAAAACTCACATATCCTCGATACAAAGGTCCTTTAAACAACAGCCTGCCTGGTTGTTCTAACCATCAGAAACCCTCAACTTTCAACAAACACTCATATTTATCAGGAAGTTATTTTGTTTTTAAAATCACCATCTTAATCCACCTGAGTACATTGAGATGAACCTGACAGAAACAGAGGACAAACTCGTTTGAAGGTTGGCAGATAAAAAGCCGTCAGCTCAAAACGAAAGCACCAAACAGAGAACTGGACAAACTAATCTATGACACCCAAGGGACAAACATAGTTCAGAAAAAAGAAACAAATTAAAGCCCAAAAAGGAGTGAAAATGTTGCAACAGCCCTGCAAAACTTAGACATAAACTCCTCCTGCACCGGTCAGGAAGAAGGCGCCATTTTTATTTTATTTGTTAAATTTCTGTCGTCGATTCAGAGCAGATGATTCCCCTACAATCTGGGCCTCGTTTCGACAAGCTGCTTTGATGGAGAACATTGATATTTACAAAAAACAATTAGGACAGACTGAAGTCAAGAGGTGTTCGACATGCAGAAATCTCCAAGATAAAGGGTGAGGGAGTCAGGGCCTGTGAGTAAGGCACAGCGCTCCGCTTGTGGTCGATGATCATGCTGCTACAACCTTTGATGACAGCAAGTGCAAACAATCTGCATGAACTCTAAAGCACACTTTCTCCTCTTCTACACAGCTATTTTGACAAATCCCCACTGGTCTGAATGTTCCCGCTCCTGCACTTTGGATCGTTCAAGTCTCACAGATCTGGCAAAGGATTCCAATTAAGAACAACACCTTATCAGGTGGTTTCTCTCCCTTAATTCAAGTCGTCTTCATATGTTTTAAAAACAACATACACACACACACACAAGCCAAGTCTACCTTTTCAGACAAAACCTGCACAATCTGACCATTATAGTGCACACTAGCTCAGCATGCAAACCGGTTTCTCTTTATGAAAAATTTTCATCAAGTTGCTTCACTTTGTGTTCCAGTGGCTGATATAAAAACTCGTTCAGCAGCTTCGTTTTTCGTTCCAAAAGCTGATAATAAGGATAAAAAAAAGACATACTCAGCACAAAAAAACATTGTACAACTTAATCCATTTAAATTAAAATATGTAAACTCTACAATGTAAAAAATATATATTTGGTGTGTTGCAGACTTTTTTTTAAATAATAATAAAACAAATAACTTCAGTTCTCTTGCTTCTGCAGCAGGATATCGCACTGTAAAAGCTCGAGCTGTATTGCACGTTAAAGCTCCGACCGCTCATCTAATTTAACATGGAAGCTCGCTGCTCTGATCACATCTTTCACGTTGGTCCCTCTCAACGGGGAGGCTTCAGAGACCAAAGGCGGAGGAGGGGGTCCAGGTTTGTCACGTCTGGCTAGCTTGTGCAGGTTAAGTCGAGAGTAGAAGTGCCATCTTTTAAACACATTAATCTCATCAACATTAAAACGAAAACTGAGATAACTCCTCTGACGTTTCACTTTAAGGTGAAGAAAGGATTCTTTGTTTCACTTTAGTATCCGTTAAGTTCCTCGTCCCTTTTTGCCCAGGAAAACATCTGGGTAGATTAACGATTACAGGGCTGTGAATCAACAGTTTGTGCCTCATTTTAATTTTTGTTTTTTTGGGGGGGTCTGCTGAAGTAGCACGAGGGGATGCTGGGGAGATTTCAGCCACGATGAATGAATGGAGCAGCGTGCAGAGTTATTGTTATGGATTTTAAAGGTCAAAGCAGGTTTGGGAGTAAAACGTGTGTGCGCACTGGCCTTTGAATGATAATACATTTTTATATTGGAGAGGGAGGGGGAGTCAAACTCGTTCTGCTAACCTGGGCACGCACGGTCGTCCTCGTTTCAGATTTGAATTTTTTTTATCTTTTTTTATATTTTTTACACGTGTGCATGTCAGTGTGTATGTGTGGATGTAGTGGTCAGCCTGGTCATAATTTGTGTTTCCCTGACAGAATGGAGCGGTACAGTTCTTCATCCAGCGGCACGTAGCGCCCTCTGCTGGTGTCCAGGAAGAACAGTCTGTCGGACACCGCAGTGGGGTTAAAGCCTTCCCGACGCAAATCCGTCTTCTGAAATTTGAATGTTCCTGCAAAAAAAAAAAAAAAAAGGGGAGGTAAAAAAACTGTGTAGATCCAGATTAAAGCTATTTATTTCCAAACTTTACTGTGGCGTCACACAAACTCCAGGTTTTACCCGTTTTGTCGACTTCTGGGAGGAAGCGGAGAAAGACAGGTCTAGCGTACGGAGGGAGAACCTTCTCCATGTCCTTCACAAACCTCTCCAGGTCAGCGGATTGAGACGGATCAGCGATGGCCGCCATCCCGGCTTTTCCTTCTGCTCCTGTAAACACAGACGGCCACAATCAGCCGTGGGAAGCACAGAGATTTCGACTCCAACAGATGCTTGTTTTGTGTGCAGCAGGGCCACAGAGTGCAGATCAGAATCAGTCATATTTTCATACAGCAGCTTATGCTGGAGGTTGAATCTTTAAATGTTTATGAAGCAAAGTGACTTCGTTCACACTGCAGGCAAATGCAATACAAATCCATTTTTGTTGCCTCTATGCAACCCATATCAGTTTATTTTTAAATCTAAGGACTTTTCAGTATGTAGTACTAAATCAGATACACATCTGATGTTTTTCAAAGCAACCTCAGTCTGAACGGTCACATCTCATTTCATCCAACTGTTACATCACTGAGGTGGGCTTAAAGTGCCTGTGACATGCATATCCATGAAATACAAACAGTCAAAGAAAATATGTTTATATTTAAGAAACTTGGCATAATACACACAATTTGACCCGTTATGTCACATAATTGGCACATTTTCTTTTGAATTTTGCTCAGCTAAAGTGAAACAGGAAGTGACATGAAAGGGGAACTCTTTGAGTAAGAAAACTTCCTGGTTTTTGTTTATTGAAACATTATTATTTGAATTATGACTCTCTCATCCCTCTATGATAGTAATTAAAATAATCTAAAGAAACATCAGATTATTCTCTACAGTCTGTGCTGTTAGCCATTTTAGCAATGTTCTGTTTACATTCAGACTTTCCCCTTTGACATCACTTCCTGTTTCTTTACACGTGAATATCTCAACAACCGTTCATCTCAGCAGCATGAAATCTTTTTTACAATATGTTATCAATGTTAACTTTCCAAAAATACATTCAAATTTATTATAAAAATTTGATGTCACAGCCACTTTAAGCAGTAATAATGATTTTAACCTCGAGTCACATGCTGTTTAAATCTCCACACATCTTCAGCTGCAGAACAGACTGCTTCATCTTTTAACTTTCCATGTCCTGGATGACTGAGAATCCACTGAATGTAAGATGGTAACGTCTGTCTCGGACCGTATTGATACTAAAGTTACTGGATCGATGCTTTAATTTTTTTATTTATTTACCATTATTTAACCAGGCAAGTCCCGTTGAGATCGCAGATCTCTTTTTCAAGGGAGGCCTGGAGGCAACCTATTGTACATGTTTTTGGGAGTAATTACACGCTGCACCAGAGCAGCCAACCAGAGGCAGGTTCAAATGTAAATGCTGGATTAAATAATCACGTCAGATAATTATTTAATCAGCTCTGATTGAACAGCTTGACATGCGACATGCTAACATTTAGCAACTATGTTTAGTTACATCTGTAACCAGCGAGCTGAATGTGACGTCACATCATCTTCTGCACAAGCAGGTCGAATCAGCAGCATAAAGCCTTCCCACTGGAGTCTGATGGAGGTCGTATTTAAAATATAATGTGAACGTTCACACAAAAAGAAAAAATATCATTTGTAGGGATGTCCCGATCAGATGCTCAGTATCGGCGGCAGATAATGGACATTTTTTGAAAATCTGGTAGAATTGGATTTAGTCATGTGATCAGGCCGATCCAGTTTCCACGACAGTTTTCATCATCATCATGCTTTACGACTGCTGTTAAGAAGTCAAGATGCACACAAGCATGCAACCATGTCCGCAGTGTGGGAACACCTTTCAATGGAAAACATTGATACTGAAACTGCATCTTGCAAAATCTGCAAACTGGATGTTTCTCATGGTGGGAACAGCAGGGCTCGCTTTAGTACTACCAAATTTGTTACTTAGAAAAAAAATAAAGAAATAAAGTTATCGGATCGGTATCGGAAAGACTAATCATTAAAAAAAATCTGAGCCAAAATATCTGGATCGGGACATCTCTAATAATTTGTGCAACAAATCGGAATTGAGCATGAAGACCTTCAGTGTGAACGTATCCTTAGGTTTGATTTTGCAATATGACTTTATTTTTTGCTTTTTATTACCAAACTGTGCTTTAAAATCAATACTTTGACACAACTGCCTAATTCACCTGTGCTAAGGTGAATGTTTTCTTGCCCTAAAGGTGCCAGCTGAAACTGCTGAACAGGATGCATAATAGAAATGTTTAGCAAAGTAGTTCTTTTGCTCAAACTAACTCAAGTTTAAGATCTTTTTGGGTAAATTACATTATTATTATTTTAATGGGAAATACATAATTAAAATGTACATATTTAAAGACGTTACCTGGTACTTCTACTCCATAAACCACGACGTCTTTCATGTCTAGCAGCCTGCTTAGAGTTCCTTCCACCTCCGTGGTCGAGACATTTTCTCCTTTCCACCGGAAAGTATCTCCTGTTCGGTCCTTGAAGTACATGTGGCCGTACCGATCCATGATCAGCACGTCACCTGGAGACAAACTCTCATTTATTGAAGTTATTCAAATAAAACACGTTAACTCTGTCTGTGAACAYGAGCATCCTAACCTGAAAGGTAGGCGCTGTCTCCCTTCTTGAAAACGCTGTGAGCGATCTTCTTGTTCGTCGCGGATTGGTTCACGTAGCCGTCAAACCTGCGGAGAGGGTCATTCTGGATGATTCTGCCAACAAGCTGGCCRGGCTCACCTAGGAGAGAAGAAAGACGGGATTATTTGACTTTAGTGGGACTTGTGCACGACTGCAATGAAGTGTTCAAAGAACCTCGCTAACATACGAAGCGCGGTGGTACAACCTTTACTTTCAGTTCATATGCAGCAGCTAAAAAACACAAACTGAAGCTTTACTAAAAGTAACGCCGATATTTCATATGAAAACCCACCAGGTTTACAGGGGATGCAAACTCCGTCATGTCCTCTGATCAGCTCCATGGTCTCTTCATCAACCCTCACCAGTCTGATGGGGTAGATGAAGGGCAAAATCTGACTGTTAAAGCCACACGCTCCGACCTGAAACACACACACCTCGCATGTCAGACATTTTAGCTAAAATCCTCCTGCTGAGAAGAGAGGGWGGTGCACGCATTTTAGTTTTAACTMWGTAAACGACTTCACGCACAAAGCTAATGATATTCTTAGCTACTATGTCATGGGGTTTAAGAGYACCTGGCAGACGGTGAATTTCACYGTGRAAAATCYCCACTGARGTGCATTTTCACCAGCTACTTTTGCTGTGGTCMGAGGTACGGTATAGAGTCATGATTTTAAACTGGAACGCCCCATCCAGTGGGGATCCGGTCTGAAAGACGGCGCTGGAGTGAAGTTYGTTTTAGGTCGGATATTCGCGCTAGTAGATCAGCATGGATTTCCTCCAGCCTAATTACTTCAGGCGGTCTGATCTCAGTCAGCTCGCTCCGCCTCCACACACCAYGGCCCGCATAGGGACCGTCAATAAATTACCAAATAACACTTGAGGAACAAAAAGCAATAGCTTCTACACCAGGTGACCCAGAGACACAAAACTAAGGTMAAATTGTTCTACTAAACAGGACAGATGAGGCACAACTATCTTCACTTGATTTTAAGGCATTTTCTGTTTTTTGTGCAAACTTGATCAATTTTCTTCAATAACATCTAGGTCAGGGGTCTGCAACCTTTATGATCAAAAGAGCCATGTCTGCTACTTGGCTCACTAATAAAATGTGTCCAGAGCCRTAAAACAAGCTACAACTATGATTATCAACTAGTGGGTCGTGGGCCTTTTCAGGAACCTCTATCGCCACTAGAGGTGACATTATAAAACTAAAGAATCTATTGTGAGTTTTATTACGTACAATATTATTATTTTGCACATCAGGACAAATGAAAAGACCATAATCATGTAAACAATAAAAATACTGTATATAGTTTTTACTGAATCTCATAAAAACTAGTACAACTGAACNGACCATAATCATGTAAACAATAAAAATACTGTATATAGTTTTTACTGAATCTCATAAAAACTAGTACAACTGAACTATTCAGGCATATTTTTTTCTAATTCTTATTTTTATGTAGTTTTCAAATTCTTTAAAAGTATTTCTGATGGATCATAGAAGGAAGTTGAATTATTTAAGTAAACAACAGGCTAGCATGAGCTAACATGTTTTACTTTTTGCATTAGTATTAATCACATATTTGCATACAAATGGATTTCTGTTGTGAGTATAAAAAAACAAAAAATGTTTATGTTTTCTGTTATGTTTGGTAACGTTTTCAAAGAGCCACTGCAGAGAGACCAAAGAGCCACATGYGGCCCCAGAGCCGCAGGTTGCAGACCCCTGGTCTAGGTCTAGCACCAGTGTCTAATGTTAACTTGTTCATATATTATTATTTACCCTCATTTTTTCAAACACTTGTTACTATGAATATTCCTGTATTAATAAAATGACACTTGAATATTCAGCACAGACATTTTACTTCTTACTTCACTATAAGCTGTCAGTTGTAGATGGAACAATRAAAATAAAACTGAAAGCTGTCTTTTAAACAAAGTACAAAAACTCAAAACAGCAGCCTCTCCTCAGCATGAGGGGTTGTTAACCTGCCCTGCAGGGTGCAGACATAGCTTTGTAAGTCCAAAATAAAACTAAAGAATATAATAAAGTGCATAAAAGTAAAAAAATACATTTTATTTACAAACTTGTTGGATCTGACAGTCCAAAGGATTTAATAAAACGCCAATGCAAAAAAGAACTATAGGAGACAGGATGAGTTATTACTACAAGTCAGTGATCAGATGTCACTTAATGCTTTAGCTAACGTTTATGGCTCTGCTTCCAAGAAACAAGTTTTCTGTTTGTAAACATATAGACAGTTGGCTGCAGCACAAAGAGGTCAGTCACTGAAAATAAATATGATTTATACAGCATCAACCTTTCTGAACCTTACCCACCTGCAGTATGTAATCATATAAACACAAGTCCAGTGTGTGTTASTGTTTCAAGTGGTGTCACTGCTGCTGTGCTGCCATGGAACAAATCTGTGTTTTACTTTCAATAAAACATAGCCAACTTAAGTCTTGGTTTTTTTTTTCCCCTCTTTGACGTGAACGTCTTTCTGTTCCACCATTATTATCGCTCTTTTATGTGCCCGCTGCTTCTTCTTCTGTGGTTTTCAGGCTGGCACGTTCTTCATCAGTAAACAAAGCAACCGCTGACAATACAGGCGATTCTGCCCCCAACAGCTCATGTATTTCATTGGAGATACAAACGAACATGTATGTGGTTAAATAATATGAATACTCGATAATAAAATTCTGCGTTGACAAATTTTAATAAACGATGTGATTATTTCGAAAAATCTGTGCAGCACTAAACTCGACACGMTTTAACACGCAATAAAACACTAATTGTCCTCAAAAACATCAGATTTTGGCCTCTCCAAAAACACCCTCTCAGCCTTGTCCTGCCATGAAAAAGCATTACTGAGTTTTAAGTTGAGCATCAAACCCTCACAATATTTTTTTTTCCCGGCAGGACTTGTCCTCACCTTGTTGTCGAAGTTGCCCAAGCTGCAGTTGCACTCCGTGGCTCCGTAAAACTCAGCTATCTGCGGGATGTTGAAGCGGTTCATGAACTCCTCCCATATGGACTGGCGCAGGCCATTGCCCAGCGCCATGCGCACGCGATGCTGWCGCTCGGTGTCGCGAATCGGCTGGTTCAGTAGATACCGACAGATCTCTCCGATGTACTGCACAATCTAAAGGGTGGCAGCGCGACAAAGAAGTCATGTTAGATGGATAAAAAGGGGCAGCTTACAACCAAATGGTGACTAAAAAGAGGAGTTAAACACAAATTATTGGAACATTTTTAGGAACTATCTCAGCMCTGTGTGGCAATGAGCTGAAAGAGAAATTCTGCTTACAGTGCAGTTATATTTGATACAGTCATCCCAGAAGCGCGAGGCAGAGAACTTCTTCCTGATCACCACGGTCATTCCGTGGATTATGCACTGACCCACTCCCACAATGTTTCCTGAGAACAAAGAACGAGCGGGGTCATGATGTCAGCCTTCACAAAGCAACTGGAGATAGAATCTGGACAAACATTAAACAGCACATGTAGGACTAAAGTTTTGTCAGATACTGGCCTACAATTTAGAGTGTCAGTAGCGGAGACTGATCCCCAATAGGATTGGGTGATTTTAGCAAAATAAAAATAATAATTATGACARTTAATTGTGGCATTTATCCGTCAACGATGACTAGGTGATAACTGCACTTGCATGTTTTGAACTCTGTCAGTTTCCCTGTGTTCTAAAATTATACTTACAAATCATCAAACTAACTTAATTTTAACAGCCAGAACTCGCATTATCTCCTTCCAGCTCTTATTTTGCTGCTCGTAGAGAAAAGACTGACTGAACGCATCGTGGGTTCTCATCTGAGCAGATTTGTTTCCAACATTCGCTGTAGGAGAGTTTGTTGTAGCAAACATTGTGTCCTCAGTCTGTATTCATGGCTATCCTCATACTCCCATTTATAACAGTGTGTCAGGTGATTAAACGAGTTCATAGTGATAACATTAGCTTTAGGTTGGTAGTAAAYTAGCGTTAGCGCCACATTAGCAGTAGATCTGCATTTGTGATGGCTCTGAATTAGCATTATCTTCATACTAGTTTTGCACATTAATGTTAGCTCCACATTAGTGTTAGCTCTGAGTTAGCATTAGCTCCACATTAGTGTTAGCTATGCATTAATGTTAGCTCTGCATTAGCATTAATGCTAGCTCCACATTAGTGTTAGCTCTGAGTTAGCATTAGCTACAGCTATGCATTCGCATTAACGTTAGCTCCATCTTAGGATAAATGTTATCTTCACATTAGTGTTATCTATGCATTAATGTTAGCTCTGCATTAGCGTTAATGTTAGCTACACATTAGTGTTAGCTATGCATTAACGTTAGCTCTGCATTAGCGTTAACATTAGCTCCACATTAGTGTTAGCTATGCATTAACGTTAGCTTCACATTAGTGTTAGCTATGCATTAATGTTAGTTCTGCATTAGCATTAACATTAGCTCCACATTAGTGTTAGCTATGCATTAACGTTAGCTCTGCATTAGCATTAACGTTAGCTTCACATTAGTGTTAGCTATGCATTAACGTTAGCTTCACGTTAGTGTTAGCTATGCATTAATGTTAGCTCTGCATTAGCATTAACGTTACATTAGTTTTAGTTCTGCATTAGCACCGTGCCGCAATCGCAGTAATCGCCAAGTGCAAAATAGTAATCCATGACAGTTCTTCTGACGATTTGCACAKGATACGATTTTACCCAACGTAATCGTAGTTGATTACGTAAAYGTAATCCCCAACGTGCATTTTGAGCATGTCCTGAACAGATTGCCCCAGATCTTAGTCTAAAATGTCTAAAATACATTAGTTAACTATTAAGTAACTGTTCTCCGTTAGCAAAATATTTCATGTACCACTGAATRGATTTMATTGAAACTTTCARAAAGCAATAATTCATCTRCAAATGTTCCAGACAGCCACCATAGCTGATCCACGTTAGCCAACACAAAACAATTATAGCTGAGTTTGACAGGTATTGATCTAAAATTTGATGTGGGAGTAGCTGAGAGTCATTCTCAACAGTTACTCTAACAYGGCATGAAATTGTACATAATGTTATTTTCAAGATTTGACCAAATCAGCTGCAACTTATTTCTCAACATGCAAATAATTTAGTTTAAACTCATGAAAAACAGCAGGCGACGTGAARTCATTTAAGAAATGYTAGGTCTTTAATAATTTAATCTTTAATCATTAAAACAAAGTAATTGTGCTCTTTGTGGCGATAAAAGGACACTGAGGCTCTTCAGCTTTTATTGTTGTAGAAACATAAGCTAACATTAATTTGGCTCTGCAGTGYAAATCAACAAACAAACTAAACAGCTCTCCCTCACTTGTTTTGTATGASAATGAATGAATATATAGTTACTTTCATGTGGCAGGAAAAAAAAAGATGTCTGACAAGCAACATCATTTGTCATACTGTCTCCTAAATGACACCTGCCAGGCTCACTTACCTGCAGAGTGATAGAGTGGGAGGCAGTCATACAGTATGTCGTCTGATGTCATCCTAAAGCCATAATATACCAGAGCTGCCATGCGGTAGTACCTGAAAACCAGGAAAAGATGATTAAAGGCGGCAAAAGAAAAGAATATATTAGGCTAAATSAAGACTACGCTCGAGCAAACAGGAGAAAAAATAAAAAGAACAGCTGCGGTTCCTTGTGTCGCCTCCTTCCTACCTGCTGTGCACAACAATAGCAGCTTTAGGCATCCCTGTGGTTCCTGATGTGTAGATATAGAACAGGCGATCTGCAACCAACAGCACAGAAACAGAGGATTATAATAACTATAATGTTGAGGAACAACATAAGTCAGTGTTTGACTATTCAGTTAAAAGTTACAGAGTTTCAACACTGGTGCAGTTTTATTACCTGTGTGTTTATATAAACTATGACATTAGTTTTGTTTCCCCTTCATCTATTCTGAGATTTTATGGTAATATTGTATATCAAAGCTGACTCATCTGACTCTGTTGTGTTTTGGCGGCAGCTTTGACAAGSGTGACCAAAGCTGGCAGGATTTATTGTTGCATCAAGTCATAAAAAGTAAACATGACAGAATGATGTAACAGTAAAAACATTGGAGCATTAAAGTGTGCAAATATTGTTCCGTCAACCGTTAACTTTTTTTGAGCCTTATAATTTGGTTCAAAATAGTCTTCTGAAGCTTGAGCGTTTAAGGAGAAACTGTTAATTTTAGGTATTTCAAGCAGACAATATACAATAAAAATTAAATCAATGAAATTAACAGATATTTTTAAGCATTGCTCACATCAAACATGCAAATCATTTAGTTATTCACGTTACAAAAAGCACTCCAAAGAACTGAAATCACTTTGCAAAAACTCAAATTCAAATATTATATTAGAACTGCAACAAGAAGGTCCTTTTCACCTGTGAAGCAGCGCTGCAGCGGGCGAGGCAGGCGAGGCTGGCGAGATGAGGCGCCGTCCAGCAGGGGTTCGAGGCACTCGGTCCCCTGTGGGACCCGTTTGGGGTCCCAGTCCCCAGAGCAGAACATCTGCACCGCYTTCCCCATTGAGCTGTGGACCTCTGAGACCGCTGTGAGAGTAAAAGAAACACGCTGAAGTATGCAGGACTCATCTCACACAGTGCAACGTTTCAGCAATTGTTATGTTCCCAATTTAAAAAATAAATAAACCACTGATAAGGGACCGATACTAGCAGAAAAAACTGAAACAACTCAAAGCTTTTTCCTTTAAAAAGCTTGCTCTGCTGCCTCAGTAATAATACTAACATGATTTTGGCTTATGATACAAAAAGAAGCCATGTTTCTAATTACTTAAAGAAATTAAAAACACACAAGTTGATGAACCATTAGTGAGACAGCTCAATCAATCTGGGAACCAGCAGCTTTTACCYCTTTATAGCTGCTCAAATCAAAGCTTTTCTGAGTGGGAAAGAATCCAAGAAAGAGCCATAGGGAACAAATTAAAACCTAAATTTGTGTGTGACTGAGTGGCTGCAATTCTGSTTTATTAGTAACCAAGTTAACTTAAAATACTTCAACAACCACATGCAAAAAAAAAAAGAGTAAGGAGCAGCTAATCATTGCTACTTTAATYCTACTCATTAACAGTTTTTCTCATGCAATAATAAAAAATTAAACTCTCTCATCTATTTGATTTGGTATTTTTAAAAACACACAAAAAGAAGTGTAAAGCCAGCGGAAAACACCGATAGCTACAGAAACTGTATTTACAAAGTCAAAGTAATAAAAGTTTAGCAGCTAAAAGCTAAATGTAGCAAAAGGCTATCTAACTACAGCAAAAGGCTGGCTAAAAGTAGCAAATGCTAGCTAAAAGTTGCAGAAAAAGCTAAAAAAACAACTCTAAAAGTAATAAGCAACAAATATGGAGGGAGTACACTGAAGCAGATTTCAGAGATAACGAGGAATTGAATTGAGAGAAAAAAAATTGCAAAAAAAGTTAAACATTTTAAAAACGTATAAAAGTTACAAGAATCAAAAATAGTAGCATCCAGCTCCTGAATGAGAAAGTTCTGATGCAGGAATGGCTACATTACAGCAGCAGCAGCTAAAGTAAGCAGATGTAGTTAAGAGAAATAAAATAGTTAAATATAGTGCTGGGCGGTATACCATTTTGTACCAAATACCGGTTTTTATTTTTGTTATGATATGAATTTTTAGAATACCGGACATTCCGGTTTAAATAGCGGAATGTTTCGTCGCAGCCGCCAGTRAACTGTTGTTTCCCGGGGGACATTTTTCCTTGCTGCACCGCTATGTGCGTTAGCATGCTAATGTTTGGAGCAGCTAGTTGCAGCTGCGGGTGGTGATTCCGCTGCTTATATTGACTGACGTTTAAAAAAACATCTCGTTTTTGCCATCGCTGAATGTAGTAAACACCTCTTCAGTGACGTGCACAGTTAGATTTAACGCTGTTAGTTAATATGGAGACGTTATGCTGATGGAGACTTAACGTGGTTCTATAGTGAAAAGCCCGCAGGAAGTAGTTTGTAGTGGAGTTGGAATTGACTAGTGTGTAAGGTGAGTCGTGCTGATAAGCTTTAATAAATAACATAAAACAATAAACCCGATCATAACCTTTTCTTAACCCTCCTCCTTCACGACTGGACCAAAATGCATGACTACTGTCTGCAACCACCAGTCAGAGAAGAACAGACASAGAGGAGGGAAACAGAGACACAGACAGAGGTACAGTAAAATGAAAAAACTTAATAAGCAGGGTTTGTACATTTTATTATCAGCTGAGCTGTGATGAAAAGAAAAATCCTGTCAAATACCGTGAAACCGGTGAAAATGTTGAAAATACCATGATTTAAAATTCCGATCATATCGCCCAGCTCTAGTTAAATATAAAAGCTGAATCAGCATTCTTGCAACACTTGTGTTCACTTGACTGATTTTTTTCCTACATCAATTAAAACAAATACATCTGATCCATGTGCCTTTATCTCTTTCCCTTCTATCGGCTTTAGTTGATCACTTAACGGCTGATGACGCGTTTCTCTGCCATGCTCAGACCTTGAACCGTTTATGGTGGTGATAAAGACATTTCTATCTTCATTACAGCCAGAGCCACCGACTGATACTGAGGAGACACCTACTCAAATAGCCATTTATCTTTTATGACCCTTATGACCCATGTTCCTTTCTCCCTGCACTCACCTCTCTCATTACACAGGAAGCAGAGCAGCATGCATCAGCATAAGGGCGTAACTTTGTACTGAAAGTTGGTGGGGACGCACCGTGGGGGACGGGGTCTGACGCACCCAGTTGTGCGACCAGGGTTTTCTGTTGTTCATGTCTTCAGTGTGTGCTCAGTTTAACTGTCTGCACTCGTCAATAACTGAACACCAAATGTTTCTGTTGTGATGCAGTAATACTCAAACCATATTAACTGAGATTATGCTCACCTTCATTCAACCATGTACTGTACCAGTCCTTTAAACTCACTAAGAATTCAGTTTGATAATCAACCATAGTTTCATACAGAGACACACAGGCAGAGCACAGGTGTGTTGGTTTATCCTCTCACATAAGTCTTATAATGTGTGTGTGTAAAGGACACACTGGAGGGGTCAAACTTTTGAATAAATTAGAAGCTATTTCCTGATTTCTAATGTATTTTAACAGGTTGTTAAAGATACTTTTACCTACAAAAATAAACACCTGATTTAATGACCGTAGACAGATTCTTCATTAAACTAGTTGCATTTGTCCTGTTTTTAAATTCAGTTATGACTCAGATAATTACATTAATGTGACAAATTATCCCAAACAAGCTTAGAGGAGGTTTTTACATTTATTTATAAGATCGATACGTGGATATTTGGAATTGATTAGAAAGCTAATGATGGATGGATTGACAGATTTATTTACTGACCTTTATTTAACCGGGAAAATCCCAATTATGAAAACTAATTTCTACCACTTCCTACTAATAAAAGTTAAATAAGCCTATCACTTTTATACTGATCAAAATAAATAGTTAAGCATGCTGTAGATTATGTCTTTAGATCAGTAATTTATTTCATTTAGTTCACACAGCAGACTAGAATGTACTCAAAATAACATTTTATATTTCCTTCACACCTGTCCATCACCTTCATCTATTACCTGAGACACCCTGTCCTACCTGAGACACCCTGTCCTACCTGAGACACCCTGTCCTACCTGAGACACCCTGTCCTACCTGAGACACCCTGTCCTACCTGAGACACCCTGTCCTACCTGAGACACCCTGTCCTACCTGCTCCTCTGACTGTCTGTATCCAGCTCCTACATCAACAGATAGATTAAATATTATGTTTTTACTGCCACCTGAATTCAGTCAGCTTTAAAAAGTCAAGTAAACAATGTGTAAATTATGAAGCTAGTATATTTAATTAGAGAAATAATCAGTGACTTTATGAATGTAAATTATAACAGGGAATCAATAAATATTAGAGTGGACCTGGACTCAAACTGAGCATTAAAATACAGTTTAACTGATTAAAAAAAAAAACCTCAATAACAGAGAATGTCATCACTAAGTGATTGCTAACATTAGCTGATAGATAACTAGCAGCAAGCTAACTTTTCATAAGAAAAATAACAGTGCTGTCCTACTTTTTGACTTATTTTTTGGTCCTTTGTAAACAACAAAGTTTTTCCAGGAGCTGGATGTTATCAGACCGTTACCTGCTCCAGTAGCTCTGAGGCTCTGACCACCACGTTGTTTTACAGCAGGCAGCTAGCCCGCGCGCGTGTCTGCGCGCGAGTGCGTGTGCATGCGTGTGTCTGCGCGCGCGTGTGTCCTCGCACTTCAGAGAAAAGGAAGGGAGGGGGTGGAAGGGATCGGGCGCAGCGTACTTTTTTTTTTTTTTTCGGAAAAAAGTAGACACAGCAGTTGTTGCTGCCTACTGTCGGGAAATGTAGATGCACGCAAAGGAAAAAAGATGTGCAAATATTGGTGGGGACTGTCCCTGTCCGGCCAAAGTTGGTGGGGACATGTCCACACCAGTCCTTCAGAAAGTTATACCCTTGGTACAGACAGAGGGTGAGGAGGATCGTGTGAATTTGAACTCTTCTGTCGTCTTACCGTCAGTTAGCTCCGAACCGAAGATCACAGCCTTGGAGTTGGAGATGGTGACACAGTGGACCAAAGCCTCCAGTCTCAGATTGAAGTTAATGAGAGCAGCTTCTACTCCAATTTTGGCCATGCCCAACCAGAGGCCCACGTACTGGGACCGGTTCTCCATGAACAGGGCCACCACATCACCCTCCTTAAAGCAAAAACCAAAAATAAATCAGGTCCTTTTTTAAAAATGGAGTCACATACCCAAATTTTTAATGTAATATTTTGTTTTCTAGACATACCTTGAAACCACGGTCCAGCAGGAAGTTGGCCACTCTGTTGGAGTATTCGTCCAGCTGTAGGAAGGTCCACCTCTCTCCGGTCCCCTCAAAGATGAGCGCTGTTTTGTTTCCGTGACGCGCCACCGTCTCCGCAAAAATGTTAGGTACAGTGTTCTTCTCTCTGACGTGACGCCGGACATTCATCTTCACCCGCAACAAGACATATGCTGCGCTGAAGAAAAGAAGGAACATTTCATTAAAAGGGAGTACAGCGAAGTAAAGTAAGTGCTTAAAAATTATTTCAAAATAGGATCTTATTATGCTACCATAACAAGGTTTTCAGATTTTTTTTCATTACAAAATGTTTCAGGCAGAAAAGGTGTTGAAAATATTGTTTTTCTTTTGCAACTCTAAGAGATGTTATAGGTCCCTGAATGCAGTTATTTATAGTTTTCAAGGTTTAAAGTGGGGTTTTGTGAAAAGGTTATGAAGAGTCAATATCTTACCTGTAGAAGATAGTTTTTAGAAATACCTCAGTTTTGACTAAATCTGAATGGAATAATAAGCTAAAGCTGGGACTCTTTAGACACATGACAATTTTATTTGATTCATATAATACGATTATAAAATATGGACTTATTTTAGAAAAATAAACAGATTTATGAATTTAAATGTATAATAGAACACAATGGCATTTGTCAGAAAAACATTCATCATATGCTGCTGACCAGTAATTAGTGTTACCAGTGAAATTGCCATAAAAAGTTAATATTATTATAATCATGTTTATCACTGGAAATGAATACACAAATCAATCATTGTAAAGTCATTATTACTACAGTCAGTCATGTTGGGATAACTTGAGCCATTTACAGGTGTATATTCTTCAGGTTTGAGATAAGAGATTATAAAAAAACACAGCTTTACTGCAACACGTTTCAACAACAGGAAGCTACGTTAACTTTACTAGGACAATAATCCTTTTAGGTTGTGAGTCACTAACTTGTCATTCCTGGATAGAATAAACTCTGTTTCTCCTAACAGACTTCTAATTATATAGAACTTTATTATCTCAGACAAAAATTGTCCACAACATTAAAAATAAAGAAACACGTCAAGAAAATGAAAACAATAAAAATTATCTACAACAGGTAAGATAATGATTGTTTGTCACCTTCAACATATCTTAACAGTCAGTTAAAATGTAAAAAAGTGACATACTAATAAGCACTAGTTTTTTTTATTATAAATAAACAGTTTTCAAAATAAAAATATTAATACAACCAGCCATCTGAGGACATCTATTAGCTGCATGTATGCAGAACATAAAAGTAGATATAAAACATTACAGCAGGGAAGACCAATGAGGCAAAGTCTGAATAAATAGCAACTGTCTGGACTTTTGCATTTATTGCACAAAAGATATTATGCAGAGATGAAGAACAACATCATAAAAACCAACAAGTCAAGTAATTCATGGCTGTCCTATGATCTTAACAGAAAGCCCATTACATAAGAGATTAGATTTACTGTATCTGAATATTTTCAGTTTATTGTGGATCAATAGGTTCAACAATTTTTCCATCTACATATAACTTTGTTTTGACTAATTTATGACCAAACATTAGAAAGACGTGTCAGAACACACTTTTGATTAAGCATTATCTGAAGACCCTTCATGTCAGCTGGAACACCCTGTGGTCGTCAGTGAAACATGTGGTGGCAGGATTAAATGAAGTTGTACTAAAGCTGAGCTGTAACCTGTAAACTGTAACCTTTGCGATTCTTGCAGCGTAAATATCGGAATCTCGTCGAACCACTTTTCACATTACCTCGCAGTGAGTCACTGTGGAAAATTTAGTCTTTGCCAGAGTTAGATATCATGAATTCTCAGCAGACTCCCCATAGATACAGTAAAACATGTCAAGAAGTAGAAACGATTCTTGTTTGACAAGTCAAATGCATAAAGTCCTGAAACGATTCACTTTTACCCCTAAGTGATTAAAAAGTAGCACGACGTCACAAAGATGACTGACAGAACTTTTTGACCTATACAGGTCGTCAACACGTGCCTTTTAACTTCCTGTTTTACCAGTTACAGATCTTGTGTGTGTGTGTAAAGGGAAGTTAACAAAAACCCATCACCATGGTAAATATTGGCCGAGGGTTCGGGTCTTAAAAAAATTTCCTCCTAAACACATTCTTTCCATTTTCTTTTGGTAAAAACATTCCAGGTTAACTGGTTTGAAACTAAGAGCTGCTGTCGAGGTAACAAGCCCACTTTTGTTTTTTGTTTTTTTTTTGCAGATTGTGAAGTAATTCCTTTAGGGGATACAGATTTAAAATGTCTTAAAAGTTTAATAAAACCCCAATTTAGACTAGAGTTCTTACTGTAACTGATCATTTACTGCTCGTCAGTATGAGTCAAATTATTGTTCATTAAAAGACATCACCAAGTCAAACATTTCTATTATTTGAAAGGAACATCTGGAAAAATCATGGTAAATCTTATGAAAATAAAAAATGACTAGTTTTAAAACACAATGTTTAGATTTTTGCCTCTTCTTATATTTAATTGAATAAACTGCAAATGTAAAAAAGTAATCTTGTAGTAAATACTCACTAATAGGGCAATAACTTCCTGTTTCAAATCTGCACAGTGAAACAATTTCTATAGATTTGCTTGATAAGATAAGATATTCCTTTATTAATCCCGCAGTGGGGAAATTTACATTGTTACAGCAGTATAAAAAGCAGGAGGTGTGTTGTTTATGAGTGGAAAATTAACAACACAGACATAGTTCTCCTAACCACTAGTGGGACAGGCAAAACAGGATAAAGATGTCATAATAATAATAATAATGAAATTTTTAACTGTTTTGAGTGTGCAAAACAATAATAAAAAGCCAATAATTTTCTGCATTTTCAGGAAGATGTTTWCTTACTGTAAGTCCCTGCCAATCGTTCTGGCAAAAATCTCCAGGAAGCTCCATCCTCCACTCCCGAGGTAGAAGATCAGGACGCCCGGTAGAACCTGGTACCACGGCAGGCCCGCCAACAGCCTCAACACAAACAGCAGAACTGTGCAACATGCAAGACGCATCATCCTGAAAACCAAAACAAMCAAAAAARATCCATGGACACGCATTAAAAATAAGATTAAATGTGGCTCCAAGTTATAATTACCCAAGGYTGTATAAGAGTCAAGCTGCACAGACGTTGCTCTGGTTCTCAGCGATGCTAACAACTGAAGAATGTTATCTCCAGTGATTTGTTTACACATACTGAGCCTGTTTTCAAGCCGACCCCAAGTAGAATACACTTTACTACGAAAGGTTCAAATAAAGTGAAATTTACTCACACTGAATGTGAAACAAGTGTGGAAACAAAATCCTAGAAAGTTTAAATGAAAGCCATTGTAAAACGGWGACAATGATTTTACTCATGCCTGTGTTTGTTAGCAAAATATYTAATGAACCACAGGACAGACTGTAACAAGCCTCTCAGTAAGTAATCATTTTATGTGCATGTACAACTGATTAATTTTTGGAGATGACTCGTATCRTGTGTAATTAAYTGTCAGAAAAAYTCACTTTGCAAGCTAATTGATCTAATCCAACACAACAATGGCTATAGCTCAGACAATTTTATAGATGTTCAGCTAAGGTGGCGATAGCCGAGTCATCATTAGCACATCTTCCAAGATCTAACATCTTGCACAAGATTACACATAATGTAGCTGATAAGGTTAGAACAAAACTGCTGGAACATCCCTTGTCATCATTAGATGATCTTAGTTAAACTTCAGCGAAAGCAAGTTTTAAATTTCGAGGGTTTTGCTCCTCGTTCAAAACAGCTTCCTCAGTTTAAACTGCATCGAGTTTAATTGTAATCCCAGATCAGTTTCACAACAATTCACACTTGCGACTAAAACATCTCACGTGTGGACCGGGCCCAGCAAAGACCCTGACCAGCCCTCATGAGGGAGAGTGATTTGCACGTGTGTTCAAGCTTGACAAAACAGCAGCTTTAAAGAATGGGACTCTGCAACCTGGGGAGGGTTGAACTAGAAAAGCTCCTCTGATGAGAAACAAAATAAAGCAAATGAAGACCCTCATGCTTTCCTTTTAGAATGTAACAAGGCAAAGTGTTGTTGCCACCTGATAGTTTGAAAGCTGATCCAGAACAGTAAATGATAGGTCCACTCATAATCTATTCATCAGCTTTGCTCTAATTTCTGTTTATTGTTCTAAAAAAAAGGGGGGGGGGGCACTGTTATTGAGTTAATTATTCTGAGTATTTCTCCCTTCATGCATGGTGGTTGTGATGATAATGATTACAGCCAAAACATAAAACAATGAAACCCCTCTGAACACCGGATGGGACAGTGAACGGCAAAAGAAAAGAAGCCACGCTTTCAGTAGGACAGCTGCCAAACACACAGTTGGAGACAAAAAGCCTCTGATGCCCGAACCCGGAAATTTAAAAGGCGCGGAGGAGCATCACACTGCGGCAGGATTCGGAAGGAAGAGGTGAAGCAGTGTGGTGCTACCTCCAGAACCATGTGCGATAAGGCCCGGCCTTCATCCGTGACCTGGTGGGACGGTCAGTGTTTAACTCGCTAACCCGATGTGAGGCAGAGCAGGATGCGCAGCGGCAACGACCGAACAGCGGTACATCTGTCAGGACGAAGAGGAATATTTTCCCCTTTTAAGGACCGAGGGGGTGTTTGAATTTACACATTCCTAACACATATCGTCTGTTCTCCCCCCCAAAAAATAAAAACCTGACCACCTTTCCGCCGAGCTCAACAGAACTTCGCGGGGGCGATGGGAGGTTGTAGCAGGGATGAGCAGCGTTAGCTTACATACCTTGTCCCCTCTTTCACGCCGTCACAGCATATAGGTGCGCAGAAATCCCCAAACGTGAAACTCGCTGCGTGAGATTCCACCTTGATCGGCTTACAAGCCAGCCTGGTCGCCCCCCCAACCTCTCTCCTCTCTCCGCCGCCGCTAGCTTGGCTTGACAGAAGCTCAGAGAAACGCACACAGGCAGGCGGACGGACGGACGCACTCACTGGGTTTCAAATCCCACAGCCACCTCCTGCTGCTGCTCCCACCAAAAACGACCTGATAAGACGTGTCGACTCTGACCCCGCTGTCATTATCCGTTTATTGTCTGAGTATTTCATATCATTCTTGTAACCGGGGAAGCTCACAGCCAGGCGTAATTCAAATGACCTTATAATTTTCTGAGATGAACCCGCCCATTTGCCGTTAGCGTCAAATCGGTGAATCAGGCACGAGTGCTGACGGGCAGGCGCCAMAGCCAATGGACAGAGTAGGTGTTTACGTCGTCACATCCGGAAGGGGTGGGTTTTGCGGCACCAGCTAATGGAAGAGGAAGTGCTAGGCAGTGCTAACCGGCTAGAGAAGCTACACCCAGGGAAGTCTCCGCCCGGTGATGACACAAGGCCGTTATGGCGTAAAAAAGGGGCCCTGCCTCTSCCTGCAGAGTCCACCTCACCTCGCCCATTCATCATTCCGTATACCTCGCTCAGCCACAAACGGTCCTGTCAACAAAGGATGGGCAAGGAATGTGTTGAGCAATAGAGTACTAAAACTCGAAGAACTACCTTTAAACTGGAAAAGCCATTACAATCCAGTTACATGAAGATCTGGTTACAGGCCTTTTTGTAGTCGAAACTATGCTTTAACACAATGTAGTTAACGTTATTAAATGTTTTTTGTCTAAATTTTGTGTCACATTATATATATA